AAATCGTTGCCAGTTTGCGAGGAATATATTCACATAGCCGAACATGAGCAAGAACCGAAATTGGCTGAGAATGGGGAGTCGAGCATTATGGACGAGGCGAGTTTTGTGATGGTTGTTGTTTGGCAATTGTGTTCTCTTTTTTCCCAATGTTTTATTTTAAAATAATTTTTAGAATACCCAAGTAAGTACAGCTGGCGAAAATGTGGCATCATGCGAGATGGAAATTAATCAGAAAGGTAGGTTGAGTCTCCGTTATTGACCTTTTTGCTTTCGCTCCGAGTTGCAAATGCTACGGAGATGTTTTCAGATGTGGAAAGCAAGTGCTAAGTGTTACATTGTATAAACACCCAAATATCATAAATTAGAGTAATGTTCGTTTACAGTTGTTAGGCAATTTGCAGGTCACAAATAATCTACAAACTTTAAAGAGTTTCAAAGAACTAGTCAAGAACCAAAGAACAGGCTCAGCTAAAGCAGACTGCTTCTCTCTACCTTTTCGCAGTCCTACAAATTGTCACATCATTTTGTATTTACTTCTCACTTTTTCCTGTTTTTGCTATCTTTCCACTCATCTTTCAACATCTAAAAATATGTGCAGCTTTTCTTCAGAAATCGAGAGTGAGACGGTATCCGTGATCATCGAACCATCTGAAGCGTTGGCACAGGTGACATTTTTTATAATTTGTTGCTTACAGCGTGGATTTATAGTATTTAACAGCATGGCAACTGTCCTTCCAAACTTCAGGTTGATGTCAAAGTTTTTGACAAAAATAATGTAGTCACAAGCACGGTTTTGGTTGATGTGATTCCTCACAAGGAGCATAAGTCCACACTTACGGTAACGTACTGCTTTCTAAACCTCCTAAACTAATTGAGCATATTTAGCTCCTTTTTCACTTTCTAACTGAATGAATTGCATGCAGCTCATGTATTTCTGAATTATCCCTTCGATTTTTAAGACCAGTGACTCTTGGGAGAAAGAATTTGTTGTTGCTAGCGGATCTGCTCCTCCTGAAGCAGCAACTCGACTTTCGCCGAACATGGATTTGGAAATGTCTGCAGCAAATAGTCTTCTCAATGAGGTGGAGAAACTTGAGGACGAAGCAAAGGTTTCTAAAATGTTCTTCTTTC